CTACCACTTGACAACACCCTACACCCACACCACTTGACGTCACCCATACCCACACTACCATGAACACTACACACTACCACTTGACAACACTACACCCACACTACCACTTGACAACACCCTACACCCACACTACCACTTGACAACACCCCTACACCCACCACTTGACGTCACCCCCTACACCCACACTACCACTCCCTACACCCTACCATGACAACACCCCTACACACTACCACTTGACAACACCCCTACACACACTACCACTTGACAACACCCCTACACCCACACTACCACTTGACAACACCCCTACACCCACACTACCACTTGACAACACCACACACCCTACCACTTGACAACACCCCTACACCCACTACCATGACAACACCCCTACACCCACACTACCATGACAACACCTCACACTACCACTTGACAACACCCTACACCCACACTACCACTTGACAAAACCCCTACACCCACACTACCCACTTGACAAACCCTACACACCCACACTACCACTTGACAACACCCCTACACACACTACCCTTGACAACACCCACACACACTACCACTTGACAACACCTACACCCACACTACCCTTGACAACACCCCTACACCCACACTACCACTTGAGAACACCCATACCCACACTACCACTTGACAACACCCCTACACCCACTACCATGACAAAACCCTACACCCACACTACCACTTACAAATACACCTACCCTTGACAAACCCTACACCCACTACCCTTGACATCTACACCCACACACTACCATGACAACACCCTACACCTACCACTTGACAACACCCCTACCCACACTACCACTTGACCACCCATACACACACTACCCTTGACAACACCCCTACACCACACTACCATGACAAAACCCCTACACCCACACTACCACTTGACAAAACCCCTACACTGCCATGACAACCCTACACCCACACTACCACTTGACGTCACCCCTACACCCACACTACCTTGACAACACCCTACACCCACACTACCCTTGACAACACCCCTACACCCACACTACCACTTGACGTCACCCATACACCCACACTACCACTTGACACTACACCCACTCGACAACACCTACACCCACACTACCACTGACAACACCTACACCCACACTACCACTTGACAACACCTACACACCCACCCTCCACCCGCCCACTTCTTCTGTTTACTGACATTTATTTGATTAGGGTGAAATTTGTGTGACGTGTAGCAGGCAGATCTCAGCAGTGTGTGTGTGTGGTGTGTGTGTGTGTGTGTGTGTGTGTGTGTGTGTGTGGTAAGAGAAGAGAGAGAGAGAGAGAGAGAGAGAGAGAGGGGTGCAATGGACATAAAATTCTCCTGTGTGCTGCCAACTCTGACCTCACGGAGTCACAAATCAGGTTCTAATCTGGCGTGACCTAAGTTATTGGAGTCCAGACACACTATTGACCTCCTGCCAGCACCCTGAGTACGATGCCAACATCACAAGGTACCATGCCGACACCCTGAGTACCATGCCGACACCCTGAGTACCATGCCAACACCTTGAGTACTATGCCACACCCTGAGTACCATGCCAACACCCTGAGTACCATGCCAACATACACGACCTGACGGCTGACACATCATCAGGCCAACTCTGAACTGACATCATGACGCCATTTTGCATACCTAGCATAGGAGATCCATTGTCAATATCTCTACTTAAGGTCAAATTAATAATCGCTACAGTCACAAGGTCACGACGCCATCTTCTGCGCATGCGTAAAAGGAACTCATAAGTTTCCCTACCCGGACGATTCTTTGAGCATACCGAGGTGTAGAGAGGACCACTGATGTTTGTTGACACGAGCTAACAGTAAACAAACAGTGTTACCAACCTTAAAACAGCGTTACCAACCTAAACAAGCCATCAATGAGGGGTGGAGAGGGTACGCAGGAATATGATGCGGGTCAACATCTCCCCCCCAGGGCGCTCACCTCGACCTCAGGCGCAGGTCAATGGTGTGAGGGTGAAGGAGGAGAAGGGAGGAGGCAGACTTTGCACAGGAACATATTTGAACTTGGACACACTGTCAATGATTAGTTCAGGTCAGGTCAGGCCAGGATAGTTAGTTAGTCAAGCAAGTCAAATTAGGACAGGCGTAGAGTTAGTTGAGGTTAAATGGTGTGGTTAGGTTAGTGCTGGCATGACCCCAGCCTGTAGGAGGTGGTGGCGGCTTCCTGACCCAGTAAAACTTATCTTGGGAAACATCTTGAGAGGAGGAGAGGCTGGAGAGGGGAGGTACTGGGAGGGAGGTACTTGGAGAGGGAGGTACTGGGGAGGAGGTACTGAGGAGGTACTGGGGAGGGAGGTACTGGACAGAGGGGGTACTGGGAGGGGAGGTACTGGAGAGGGAGGTACTGGAGAGGGTTGGGAGGGATATACTATGGAGGAAAGACACGGGGAGATGAGACAAGGCAGGTGGTAACCACTGGGGCAAGACAGGAGGAAGTTGGGGAGACAAGACACAGGGGGGAGACTAAGACTTCAAATCCTCGGCAGATCAGAAGGATTCCAGGCACTCACGGGAGGTTAAGTGTGAGAGATAAATTACCTCAAAAAATGGAATATACAAGAGATTTAATTCATTTCAAGTGGAGGATGACCTAACTTCTGTCTATCTGTCTGTCTTTGTGTCTATCTGTATCTGTTCTCTCTCTCTCTCATTTCTTTCATTTCCAATTTTCTTCCTTTTTATTTCTTATTTCTTGTTCCTCTTTAACATGTTATTTGTGACTCTTCTGGTGAGAGAGAGAGAGAGAGAGAGAGAGGTAATGCATCCAATCTCACCTGTAATTAAATAACAAATTAACCCATTACAATGTCCACCTAATTAACCACCACAATACCTTAATAACCACCACAATAACCCCACTTTAACCACCAAAATCCCCCTACATTGACAACCACAACTACCACAATTCCCTTACAATAACCACCATCAACCCTGAATAACCAGCACATTAACCACCATTCTACTTTCTTTGTCATAACAATCAATGAACAATTACCTGGACTAAAACAACTCACACACACGAGACGTTTAGTGATTGTCTGAGTTATATGAAGAAGGATATAAGCCTCGTCTTAACTCAATGTGATGATGGTGGTGGTGATGATGATGATGATAATGATGATGGTGATGATGATGGTGATGATGATGATGATGATGGTGATGATGGTGGTGATGATGATGATAATAATGATAATAATAATAATAATAATAATAATAATAATAATAACCTCACCCCCTCCCCAAATAGGGTGGTTAATCTTGGACCCCCCCAACCTATATACCTTACATAAACATTTCGATAATCTCTGGTTACATGTGACACTGTATCAGGATTATGTAATAGGCACAGAAGTACTTAGATATGATAAGACGGATATAAATGGTGGCTCAAACTTGGAATTTGTTTAACCATTTAAGTGGATAAGATTAGATTACGTGTGTGTGTGTGTTAGGTTAAGTGGATTAGGTAAGGTTAAGTTAGGTGCGTTTGGTTAGGTTGGACTGGGTCAGGTTAGGTTAAGTGGTAGGTTGGGTTAGCTTAGGATTAGGTTGGACTGGGTTAGGTTAGGTTAAGTGGGTAAGGTTGGGTTAGCTTAGGATTAGGTTGGACGGGTTAGGTTAGATTAAGTGGTGGGTTGGGTTAGCTTAGGATTAGGTTGGACTAGGTTAGGTTAAATTAGATTAGGTTGGGTTAGGTTAAGTTAGACTGTACTAACCTTAGTAACACTCAATAAAGACCCACTATACAACCCAACCTAACCTCCTAACCTATATCTTCACAAATACAGTTTCCCAAGGCTGAATGAGGGGCCTTCACAAGCACTCCCAAGTCTGAAGGGCTTCCTGACCTGCCTCTCGCTGTGACCCCCCCCACACACACACACTCTCCCGAAGGTTCCTAAGATCAATATTCCTCGTAGCTGATGATTCAATGAAAACAAGTAAAGGTAATTTTTTTTTTGGCATTTTACAACACTAAAATTATATCCACAAAATGGCATTGGTGACATTCTGAGACTCTACCTTAACTAGACACGTTTATCAGTTAGACAAAACAACAATGAGTTAAGGTTTTTGAACTTAACTAACCCTAACTAAATGTATCAAGTTAAGGTAGAGGGTCGGTGTAACTCTGATCCTCAAAAGGGTTAAATCACCATCATCAAAAGGGTTAAATCACCATCATCAAAGGGTTAAATCACCATCATCATCAAAGGGTTAAATCACCATCATCATCAAAGGGTTAAATCACCATCATCATCAAGGGTTAAATCACCATCATCATCAAGGGTTAAATCACCATCATCATCATCAAGGGTTAAATCACCATCATCATCAAGGGTTAAATCACCATCATCAACAAAGGGTTAAATCACCATCATCAACAAAGGGTTAAATCACCATCATCATCATCACCAAAGGGTTAAACCATCACCACATCTGCGTCACCACACACACACACACTATGATTTTAAGCCATGAAATAGTGTACACCTGAAGCCTTACGCAAGGCCAGGTGACACGAACCAATTAGTCTTGACCTAACCAGGTAAATATGTTTAATCTGACCTGATGTGAGTTAACCAACCAACCCGACCTGACTTAACCTAACCAACCTGATACAGATTAACCTAACCTAACCAAACTAACCTTCCCTAACGTGATGTAAGTTAACCTAATCAACCAAACCTATTGTAATCTAAACCAACCAAATTTCAGCTAACCTAACCTAGCATACAGCAGCCAATCACAGGTTCCTAAATGGCACTGTATTTAAGGTAACCAATCACAGTGTTTCATACGTATAATGACCAAATAACAGTAGCTCCTAAATGACACTCTACGTAAATCAACCAGTCACAGAGGTTCTTAAATAACACTATCATGAACAACGTAACAAGGGAATTGCACCGTTAACTACCGTAATGACTACTTACCCATTATGATGTTGTCACAGTAGTTAATGATGCAGCGTTGTGTTCTCACTCCCCACACCAAATCCTTCCTCGAATTTGTGTACTGTCAATCAAGTTATGGTTATTATTGACAACTAACCCGCAGGTGATTTTTGTTGCCTTTTTATTTCAGGTCATAACACACACACACGACTGTCACTGTAAAGGTGGTTTTAAATCACTCGTCAATACCAATAATGTCTGCGGTATTTTAACGTGAAAAGATGTGTTCACTAATCAGTATGTTATTTAGGCTTGTCCTAGCGTGAGAACATTCTGAAGTCTCGTAAATCACTACATTTTCCCTCGTGTCATTGTTATTTCACCATTTCTTAAAGAACATGAGTGAATAGGTGTCGCAGAGGACGTCAACACAACCTGCCTCTCCACCGGACGCAAACAAACTACCGACGACCTGCAGACGACACCCTAACCCAGCTGAGTTGCCAACGCGTCAGTTTCTCTTGTTGACAGTACGTGTCACATGTATTGCCTTACTAAATGACAGTTTTCCCAAGTCGTAATATGATAATGTTATTATTAAACTTAGCATTAGATATATATTCATGGTCATTCCTGCCACATTATCATTAAGCGTAATTATTTCCACTAAATGACGACAAATGAGTGAGAACTGTACCAGACTTTCCGTGCACCGAGCAGGGCGCTGCAACCAGTCGCCATGTTTTGTTATTATCTCCGTCTGTTTTGACACAAGGACACCCTACGGCTGTACTACCCTGACACAACACACCCATACAGAATAATAACACCCATCGGAAAACACGAATAACAGCTCGTGGATAATAACAAAAGATGATATATATTAAACCTGGAACTATATGGAGTCGCCAGCCGCCAACACCATTATAACCTTGTATCTCGCTCTAATATTGACATCGGTTACGACGATAACCTAACCCCGCCTCCCCTTACCCCTCCGTCCCTCAAACAATGTCTTAATTACTACAATCTTAATAAAATATCACCTCTTACGTTATGTTATGAAGGGGTAAGATTAGACCCGTAGACATGGGTGTATTCCAAGCATGACGGAGGGCTTGTTCTGGGAATGCTTGGTGGAGGTGAGTCAGCAAGCAACCAGGAGGTAGGAGGAGGTGTGACGGTCCTTCCTCAGTCCTTCTAGAGCAGTGGGAGGACGTGGGTGTGGGAATCCTGGAAACGCCTTGGCTTGTCTGGTGCTCGTGTGTGTGTGTGTGTGTGTGTGTATGTGTGTGTGTGTGTGTGTGTGTGTGTGTGTGTGTGTGTGTGTGTGTGTGTGTGTGTGTGTGTGTGTGTGTGTGTGGCGCTGGCTGGATCGTGAGATGTGGATGGCAGTGATAAAACTGATGACAGGTGGATATATAAATTAATATACATACAGGTAAATAAAGAATAGCGACTACAGGTATATATTTATAAATTAATAAACACAGGTATATAAACAAACTGGTACAGGGGCGTAAAACGTACAGTAGTACATATGTAAATTAACACATTGTTTGTACAGGTATATAAACAAACACATACATGAGTTAAAAAACACCAAAACAAAACCAATACAATGACGAACAAGAAAAAACAAACACAAACAAGGCTTCTACCCGAATCAACAATAATAAGCAAGACTAAGCAAACACAAACAAGACTGCCACCATCCCTGTACTTCTCACCATGTACAAGTCCTTTGTCCGTTCCTGTGTCGACTACGCCGCCCCTGCCCTCGTCAACATTAGTCGGACTGTTGTCAACCGTCTCGAAGTTATCAGAAGCTGCTTGTATCATCCTTGGGGCCCTCAGTGGACACGCTCTACTTCTCTATATACCGAACTTGGTCTTTCCTCTTACTCCTAGGATCGTGTCCAGAGTTTAACCTAAAACTGCCGTTTCCATTCTACGGGATCCTCGGACAACTATGTCCAAACCAACTTGACTCCTGCTGTCCGAGGCCGACCTCCATCTAGAAGACAGTGGCGGTCACTCATCCGAGCCTTCAGGAAACACGACCTCCTGCCTGATATTGTTGTCACCCCTGCTGTTGGTTCGTCTCCTCCTGGCTGGATTTTCAACCTGAAGTGATTGCCCTCGGTGGACCGCTCGAAAATCACGTGAACCCTGTTATTCTTTGTCCACCTCTCCAGGATCGCCCACTGGTCCCCAGGTAGGGTCGTCTCCACTGATGGTTCTGTTGACCCGCTACAGGTAGGGCCGGGGCTGGTGTCTATCTCCCGTCCTCATGCCCTGAGCCTGTCAAACTGTCTCTCCAGAGTTTCTGACGGGCATCCTCCACTCAGGCTGAACTAATAGCCCTCCTTGCTGCCCTCTCTCGCTGGGAAGAAGCAGATGGTTTCTGCCCTTGCTTGTCTGCTGCGATTCCAAGTCTGCTCTCGACGGGATCGCATTTGGATCAGGAAAATAAGGACCTCATCCTCGAATACGAAGGTTAACATCCACACTTCAGGATGCAGGCCGTCCTGTGACATTCCTATGGATACCCAGTCATGTCGGTATCTTGGGAATGAGGCAGCAGAATTGCCTTACCAAGACTGGCTGCAACAAGGCCACACCTGACTACGTTTTCCTCGAACACTTTTACAGCTAGGACCCAAATTCGCCGCAAACAGAAGCTCGGGAAGCAGCCATCCCCTGGCTCCCGCCCACCTGGTACGATGTCCTCCGTAAACTTCCTGACCTCTCGACGTCTATGGGAAAGGGTCGCGGAAGGACGTGATTGCTGCCCGTATCATCATTGGGTATGACTTTGGCGGGAGATTGGTATCCCCGCATCCCCTGAGCAACGCTCTTGTGCATTATGCAGAAGACCCGACAGCCGCACCCTTATCCACAACCTCCTAAGATGTCCCAACGCTTCCGTGACGCCTGCTGGACCACCACTCGACCCCTGACGGAGACACGATGATCCTCCCAATACTGGCCAGATATTATGTAAATAACATTGATTATGTGTTAAAGGAATATCCCTTCCTTCCAGGCTTTAGTAGGCCTTTATAATATTTATACTGTATATACTTGTCACACTTGCCAGATGCTTCTGGTGTTATTGTACAGAAGTACCTAGTGACAGCACTAGGATCACTTCCTCTATCAAGAATAAACAATTGAAATTGAATTGAACTGAACAAGACTAAACAAACATAAACAAGGACAAATCTGGCTTCTAGTATAAAAAATGATAACAAACATAAACAGATTTTTCGTCACAGTTAAATATTATCACCACGTTCCTTAAGGCTAAACAACACACACACACACACACACACACACACACACCACATTTCTCACGCTTAGACTTGAACAATAACTTAACTGGAATTAATGATGATTACTCAGATCACACCTCTACATTTTCTCTCTCTCTCTCTTTGGTGTGAGAGAAGAGAGGTGCATCTTGATCAATAATCTTGTTGCCCGTCTGGAGAAATTTTGTTGTCTCTTGTGGGAATAGGGAGAGAGGATGAAGGTCATACTTATAAGCAAGTATGTAGGTAGAAGGAGAGACGAAAGAGGAAGGAGACAGGGGAGGGAAGGAGGGAGGATAGAGCTGCCTCTAACCTAACGTAAATGGCCCTAACTCAACCCAACCTAACCAAATATAACCAAATAATTCTAACCTAGCCTAACCTAATCTACCGCCACCCTCCCCAATCGCCCCTCTACTTTCAAATCCAGCAGCCATTCAAGTACGTAATTTCAGGGGCACAACTATTTCGGTAAACCCACTGGAATTTTTTTTTTTTAAATGGCGGCTTACAATTCTGTCATTTGTGTCGTATAAAAGACAAAACTCTAACTCAACTACTGTGATGAATTGTAATATATTCAGTGTAGTTTATTCTTCATAATAGTTAACAAATAATAATAAATCAAGTTCAATTTAACATAGACTTAACTATTTCGTTGAAGCAACTAGAAAAAATGTAGTTGTCATAAAATCCACAGAGGTCAGCACGAGACGGACCAAACCATTAATAATAGAAACGGGACGATAATAACCAACTAAACCTGACATAAATCACAACTACCATTGGCTTAGTTAGGTTTTTGTTATATAATTGTTTACGACATGCAAGCGTCAAAGGTGGTGTTAGTGTTGGTGGAACAAACTAACATACGTGTGTGGACGATTTTAACTAACTAACATACATGTGTGGACGATTTCAACCTAACTAACATAATATTGGGCAGAAATGCTGCCAAAAATTACATCTGGTTAATTACAAAGACCATTAACATGTTTGACTTTTAACCCAATGTGACTTAAGGTTTAATTTTAACACTTAAATGGTAAAGTAAATGATCATTGGTATTTATTGAGCAGTACAGGATGTAAATAACCTCTCCTGGATGATGCTTGACAATTGGATCAAGAATGTGACTTAGTTTGGAAAGATGAAAGCGTGATAGGAGATATTTTTCACACCTTAAAACCTCTGTTGTCTTGCCTTTGATAACATGCAACGCCATTAATACAACCATTACATCACAACTATCATCATAACACTCTCCCACCTATCATCACCATAACAATCACCACTTCCACCATCCCACTATCACCATACACCCCATCACCACCATATCACAACCATCACCTATACCCTACCACCATTATCACCATAACACCCTACCGCCACTATCACAATAACACTACCATAACACCCTATCACTACCACCATTATCACCATAACACCCCTACCGCCACTACCACCCCACTATCACCCTACCACCTTATCACCATAACCCCCATCACCACCATTACATCACAACCATCACCATAACACCCCCACCATCATCACCTATACCCCTACCACCATAACACCCTACTACCACCATAACCCCCACTATCACCCCTACTTATACCCTACCACCATCATCACCATAACACCCCTACCACCATAACACCCTATATCCCCTACCATTATCACCATAACACCCCTACCCTACCACCATAACACCCTACCATTATCACCATAACACCCTACCATAACACCCTACCATTATCACCATAACACTATACCACCATAACACCCCCACTATCACCCCTACCACCTTATCACATAACCTCCACCATTATCACCACACCCTACCTACCACCAACACCCCACTATCACCCCTACCATTATCACCTAACACCTATATACCACCCTACCACCATTATCCATAACACCCCTACCATTATCACCATAACACCCCTACCCAATCTACTCACCCCTACCACTTAACACCTACCACCATTATCACATAACACCCACACTACCACCATAACACCTATCACCCTACCATTATCACATAACACCCCTACCACCATATCCTTATAACACCTACCATAACACTATCACCTACCATTATCACCCATAACCCTACACCTACTACCACCCCTACCACCATTAT